TTTTTTTATGTTATTTTCTAAACTATCTATTTTCTCTCACCTTTAGTTATTATTATTTGAGTTTAAATTGTCAATGATTGAGACAATGCTTTAGTGGGAATAATTGTAAGAGACATCGACGATAAGGTAGTGGATGGTATAACCAAAACATGTACCAGCCATATTATGCTTGTATTCTGAAACAACAATAGTATGGCAAGCCTACCTTCTTGCATATACCCTACACCTACAATAGGCTACCATCAAGAGTGACTATTCTGAAGTTATTAGACTCAGTTCAATTGAAGAAGTACCTACCTGGGAAGTCAGCACCTTCTTTGAAGACATCAAGAACTTTGCCAGAAATCTTATAATCTGAAGTTTCGACACAAGCACAGAGCTGATAATAGGACAGTATCTATAATGACTAACCTTCTTTCTTTAAGTTTAGTTACCCACCACCCCGAGCTTTAAGACTTTCTTAAATTTTTTTCATGTTCAAAAAAAAAAAAAAAAAAATGATTGAGACAATGTAAAACTCAAATCAATAACTTAACGTGTAATAGAGGAGGTTTAATGTGTAATATGAAAAAATTGATAGGATAGAGGAGATTTAAAATGAGAGGCATAATCTAAGTATACTTTTATATTTCTTAAAAGGAAAATTTTAATCCACAGATCCTATAATTAACTTCTTTCTCATCTCTCTCTCTCTCTCTCACATCAAAGTCCAAACCTAACCGTCCTCTTCTAGTCTTCTCTTTCTCTTCACCTCCCCCACTTCCATTCTCTCCTCCTCTGAAAGACGAGCTCCCATCTATATTATCTTCACNTATTTCTTAAAAGGAAAATTTTAATCCACAGATCCTATAATTAACTTCTTTCTCGTCTCTCTCTCTCTCTCACATCAAAGTCCAAACTTAACCGTCCTTTTCTAGTCTTCTCTTTCTCTTCACCTCCCCCACTTCCATTCTCTCCTCCTCTGAAAGNGTTTTTCTGTCCTGCTTTATTTTCCTTTTGATATTGTAATTATGCAAAAAAAAAATATCAAACTTTCTCCAAAAAATCAGGGACAAGATTTGAGGATTTTCCAAAGTTTTTGATATTTTGCGCAAGTTTATGGGTAGGAAATTTTTTTGCTAATAATGTGTAACTGCCTTTTTTAGATTGGTCTATAAACGTTTTTAGAAAATATTGTCTCAAATAAGTTACGACGATCCTTATGGTGCTGTTCCTCAAAATGACGTTGTTTTACACATGAAATGAGATCTTTATTGCATATACGNGAGAGAGAGAGAGAGAGGGAATAGAACTAGCACAAACAGCCATGGCGGGTCCAAACCCACCATATTACAATTCAACTTCCAAATCCACCACTATCAACCCTCACTGGAAAAAAACCAAGCTTTATTCACTTGCTCTCATCACTGGACTGTGTTCCCTCGCGTACCTCCTTGGCGTCTGGCAACATGGCGGCGGCTCCATCACATCCATCACCGCCAACCTTGGTGCCTCCATCCCATGTACCATTTCCACCAAGAACTCTACCAAAACCCCTACAACCACAACATCAATATCAACCTCCACACAACCCCTAGACTTCGCCACCCACCACTCCCTCGATGACGGCGGTGCTGTCTCACTTCCCGACGAGATCATCAAAACCTACCCACCTTGTGACGTGAAGTACAGCGAATACACACCATGTGAGGACCCAGAAAGATCTCTGAAGTTTAACAGACGCCGGTTGAAATACAGAGAGAGGCATTGCCCTGAGAAGGGTGAACTACTGAAGTGCCGTGTACCTGCGCCTCACGGTTACATGAACCCATTCAAATGGCCAATGAGCAGGGATCTGGTGTGGTATGCCAATGTACCACACAAGGAATTGACGGTGGAGAAAGCGGTTCAGAACTGGATTAGATATGAAGAGGACCGGTTCAGATTCCCTGGTGGTGGGACCATGTTCCCCAACGGTGCTGATGCCTACATCGATGATATTGGCAAGTTGATCAATCTCAAAGATGGGTCTATTCGGACCGCCATTGATACTGGTTGTGGGGTAAGCTTAGTTTTTTTACGATATTTTCAATAGTGTTCCATGCATCTTTCATTGAACCGGCCGGTTTAGCTGGGTAATTGGATCCATTTACAGGAATTTTATGATTAATTTTCTTTGCTGATTAAATTTCTAAGAATTTTATGATTAATTAGATGCAGCAACTTTTTTATCACTAATCTGTGACACAATATCATCAATGTCACGTAGTGTCACTCTTAAATCTAATATTTTTTTCAAAAATATTACAAATTTAATTGATGTGTATAATTTATGAGTGATTTCAAATATATTAGTTACCGAAAGAAAGATACATTTTTTTATTGCCAACTTGCAATATGGTTTTGATATGAGTTTGTTTTTGGGTTCACTTGCTATTCTTTCTATAAAGTTTATTATTTTTTAGGTGTAACTTATTACTTTTTGGTTGTTTTTTATTTATTGGTATTGCATGGAAATTTT